TGATCCAAATAAAATTAAACATCATTCAAAGAAAATTACCAGTAAGATTTTTATAGGGGGAGGGAATCTAGACAAGCTCAATCTGAAGTTTATATGGAAAACCAAACAAGCAAGAATTACCAAGAAAAATCTGAAAAGAAGGGTAATAAGAGGGAGATAGCTCTACCAAGTGTTAACATTTATTATAAAGCCTCACTAGTTAAAATATAAAGCTTCACTAATGAAAAGAGAAATGGAACAGAATGGAAAGTCCAGAAACTGACCTAAGCACATATGAGATCAGTGGGGAAAAGATGGCCTATTCAATAGGTGGTGAGGGGACAACTTCGTATGATTTTGTGTAATAATTTTCTATATGATTGCAAATGGATAAAGCATTTAAAACTGAAAAAAAAAAAACTTAAAAGTAGCAGAAAAAATCATGGTTTGAAAATACATTTATATATATCTCATTATGGAGAATGCTTTTTAAAGTAACACACTAAATTAAAAAATGCGAAAGGAAAAGATTCATTGAGTACATAGAAAATTAAAAATATTTTTTCAATGGCGTAAAACACTATAATTACTGTCAAAAGAAAAATACAGACATCATCATCATCATCGTGGCAGAGGAGGATCCTCTTGTCTCTTCCCTTCAATCTATGCAGGTAAAACATCCATAACCCAACAAAGGCTACATTGCACAACACACCAGAACACCAGAAAGATACACACATTGGTACGTACAAAGGTGGGTGAATTGGAGCACATAGAGGAGGTTAAGTGGGGGAAACAGCAGAGGCACATGTTCAACTCCAGCCAGCCAGCTGTGGCAGCATGTGTGGCCACAGGAAGCAGAGCAGTAGCAAAGGCAGAGCCCTGTGATCCCGGTTCCCTGGACTCAGCTTGGAGCTTGGTAGCAGCAGAGGTGCACAGAGGAGTCCTGCATCCCTACTGTAGTGACACCTGTGACCACAAGGTAACAGGCAACAGCTGAGATGGCGCCCCAATACCAGGTTTCCTCCACAACCCTAACCATCCCCCTACCATGGAGGTGGAACTTCTGACCCAGGTGATCCTGGATGTGGCTGAGACACCAGCCATCCCTGTGCCCCCAGCAGCAAAGGCAGCAACAGCAAGGCATCCGTGACCCCCAGAAGCACAGACAGCCACAATTGAGAGTACTGGCGACACCACAAATCGAGGTGGTGGAGAGTGGAACAGTGCAGATCCTCAAATATAGCCGGAGGCAGCTCAGGTAAGAGAAACTGAAAACTACCACTATAGTGCCACCCACTGAAAAACAAAAGAAAAGCTTCTAGTCTCTAAGAGGTTGAAAAGTTTGAATCAAAACAAAGCTATACCAAAATAAAATACATGTTTGCTGCAACAAATGTGCCAGCAGAGGAGTAACAGCAAGCACCACAAAAAGCCACGGTACCATGGCATTACAGCAAGAAAACAGTTCTCCAGAAAACATACATAAAGTCATGGAAGATTGTAATCTAACTGATTAAAAATTCAAAATAGCTGTTATGAAGGAACTCAACAAGCTACAAGAACCTCAGAAAGGCAGTTCAGTGAGCTCAGGAATAAAATCAATGAACAGAAGGAATACTTTACCAAAGAGATTGAAACTTTAAAAAAGAACTTAAAAATTCTGGAACTGAAGAACTCAATAAATGAGACGAAGAATACATTAGAAAGCATTGGAAATAGAGCAGATGATATGGAAGAGAGAATAGTGAGCTCAAAGATGAAAACAGAAACGGTTCAGGTAGAAGAGAGAGAGCTAAGACTTTAAAAAAATGTAGAAATTTTACGAGAATTATCTCACTCCATTAGAAAGGGCAACATAAGAGTAATGGGTATCTCAGAGGGAGAGGAGGGAGAGGAGGGAGCAGAGAGCTTATTTAAAGAAATAACAGCTGAGAACTTCCCAAATGGGGAAGGAACTGAATATCCAAATCCACAAAGCTAATAGGACACCCAATTATCTCAACACAAAAAGACCTTCTCCAAAACCCATGATAACTGTCAAAAATCAATGAGAAAGGGAGAATATTAAAAGAAGTCAGGGAGAAAAAGACAACAAAGGAATACCCATTAGGCTATTAGCAGCTTTCTCAGTAAAAACCCTACAGGCCAAGAGAGAGTGGAAAGATACATTCAAAACTTTGAAAGATAAAAACTGTCAGCCACGAATACTCTATTGAGCAAAGTTGTCTTTCAGATATGAGGGAGAAATAAAGGATTTCCCAGACAAACAAAAGCTGAGGGAGTTCACCACTACTAGACCTGCCTTACAAGAAATGTTCACAGAAGCCAATGACATTTTTCGTTGAAATAAAACAAGGAATCCTAAAATTTGTATGGAACAACAAAAAACCCCAAGTAGCCAAAGGAATCTTGAGAAAAAAGAACAAAGCTGGCAGTATCACACTCCCTGATTTCAAAATATGCTACAAAGCTATAGTAATCAAAACATCATGGTACTGGCACAGAAACAGACACAGATCAGTGGGACAGAATTGAAAGCCCAGAAATAAACCCCATATCAATGGACAGCTAATTATCAAGGAGCCAAGAACATACAATGGAGAAAGGAAAGTCTCTTCAATAAATGGTGTTGGGAAAACTGGACAGCCACATGCAAAAGAATGAAAGTAGACCACTATCTTATACCATGCACAAAAGTCAACTCAAAATGGATTAAAGACTTGAATTAAGACCTGAAACCATAAAACTCTTGGAGGAAAACATAAGGAATACGCTCTTTAACATCGGTCTTAGCAGTATCTCTTCGAATACTATGTCTACTCAGGCAAGGGAAACAAAAGGAAAAATAACAAATGAGAGTACATCAAACTAAAAAGCTTCTGCATGACAAGGGAAAGCATCAACAAAACAAAAAGACAACCTACCAGTTGGGAGAAGATGTTTGCAAATTATATCTCCAATAAGGGGTTAATATCCAAAATATATGAAAAACTCATAACAACTCAACAACAATAAAACAACTTAATTAAAAAATGGTCAGAGGATCTGAACAGACATTTTTCCAAAGATATACAGACGGCCAGCAGGCACATAAAAAAATGTTTAACATCACTAATTATTAGGGAAATACAAATCAAAACCCAATGAGATATCACCTCATACCCATCAGAATGGCTATTATTAAAAAGACAAGAAATAGCAAGTGTTGGAGAGGATGTGAAGGAAAGGAAACCCTTATACACTGCTGGTGGGAATGTAAATTAGTGCAGCCACTATGGAAAACCGTATGAGATTCCTCAAAAAATTAAAAACAGAACTACCATATGATCCAGCTATTCCACTTCTGGTTATTCATCCAAGATTACAAAAACACTAATTCAAAAAGATACATGTACCTCTCTGTTCATTGCAACTTTATTCACAATAGCCAAGACTTGGGAACAACCTAAGTTCCCATCAATAGATGAAACGATAAAGATGTGGTATACACATATATACACACATATACACAATGAACTACTACTCAGCCATAAAAAAAGATGAAATCATGAATGGTCCTTGAGGGCTTGAGGGTATTATGCTAAGCGAAGTCAGACAGAAAAAGACAAATAGTGTATCATTTCACTCATATGTGGAAGATAAACAAACACATAGATACAGAGAATAGATTGGTGGTTACCAGAGAGGAAGCAGGTGGGAGGAGGGTGAAAGGGTTAAAAGGGCACATATGTACAGTGATGGATGGCAACTAGACATTTGGTGGCAAATACGATGTAGTCTACACAAAAGGTGAAATATAATGATGTACACGTGAAATTTATACAATGTTGTAAATCAATGTTACCTAAATAAAAAAGAAAAATACAAAGTATGAAAAATTTAAAAGTATACAACAAATATAATTTCCCTAATATATAAAGAGCTCCTATAAATCACTAATAAAAATAGAAAAAAATTACTAAAGAAATATAATTGCCTCTTAAGGCTGATGCTTGACTTTGTTTTTAATAAGAGAAATGAAACTTAAAAATACAGTGAAAAGGTAAACTACACTGAGATACCAGATTGGTGTTTTGCTAATGGTATGGAGAAACAAGTACTTTCGTATATTCTTCGTGGAGGTGTAACTTGGTACTGTCTTGGAGAGGGGGAGAATTAAGTAACGGCTTTCAAAATTACAGTAATACACACCCTTTGGTGCAGCAATTTCACTTCTAGGGATATATCCTAGGGACACAAATGTATATATGAACACCATTATTTATTGCAACGTTGCTTTAGCTGGTAAAAGATTGAAAACAGCCCAAACCTCTGGCCAGCCTGCTGTCACCTCACGAAGCCAGGCACCGAGGCTCAGAGCTCTGTTCATCCAGAGTAAGGGCTGTCCTTTTCTTATGCACCCATAGGCATGGTATGGGCTAGCATTTATTAATTTCTCAAAGGGAGAACATAGACTCTTGTGAAGCAATCCTAGATTTTTATGATTTTTTTCAATCCTGTAGTATTGTTTTGCCCACACGTAATTTAATTTTACTTCTGCTCAACTTCTCTTTATCAAGTCCTTTCAAAGCATTTCTAATTCAGTTTTAATAAAATATAAACAATTCTCTTTATGCAGTTGTATTTTATCAGTTTATGTAATAATTAATTATGTAACTAACATGTTACAACTAATATCACACATTTAGAAATAAATAAGACTGAGAATTGGCATCAGCTCAGCTGGTGGGAGTAGCTGTGCTCTGCTGCAGGCATTCATCAACCAAGATATCAGTTGGTGAATCTGAAGGAGGGATTGGAGAGTTCTGGTTAATCCAGCAAATTGCTTAAATGGTTAATTAAAAGAGCTTTTGTTACGTACTGATGATAAGAGCAATCCATTATGTTCCAAAATAAGTAAAATCAGAGTAATCCTAATAAAAAATGATTTGGTAGTATCTTCACATTTTTATGTTATGACTGCTTTATCTTCATTTATGACTTCCATATGAGCCTACCTTCTTTCCAATATATTGCAGGCTTTGGTCAAAGAGTTACAAACTGATGTCCATTCGATAAGGCGACATATCAGAGAGCTTAAAAAAATGCGGAAAAACAGGGACGCTTATAAAACATCAACCCATAAAGCCCAGACCTTGGCAGCTTCTATCCTGAACATTTCACAGTCAGATCTAGAGGAAATATTGGACACGGAAGATGAAGTGGTAAGATCATTTAAATATTTATTTATAAAGGGCTTTTTTACACATTGAATTTAAGTACATGTTTAAATTTGTTTTATAATTCTTAGAATTTCATCTTTAAGACAATATTAATAAGGTTAAGATTAATAATGCACCAGTGAAAGATTTATCAAGAGTATTAACCAACTCAAAAAAACTTGAGAAGTTTAACTGTGTGATATAGAGATAAGCCAGTACATATAACCTTTAGAACTGCTTGTTTGTTATTCATTCAGTTATCCTTTCCTGTCTCCTCTATTTTCTTTTAATTTAGTTAATCATATATCTTGTAAACTAATATTTTTTATTAAGCCAGTTTGAGTGGATTTAGTTAGCTTGGTCATTGACTTGAGGATTACTCCTCCTCTGTGAGATTTTTAAAAGAAGTAAATCTGTTGCTTTCCTAGCTGAATTCAAAAGTATTGTTGATCAAGTTAAAGAAGAATATATTTATTGCTTTAAATTGGGTGAAATAGTCCTGTGTGAGTGAACTCATGTGCATGCAGGTGTGGGTACCTCCAGGGGACGGCACTGCATTTTTGGCTTAGTTATTACCTCGTCAGCAGCGGAATCTCACGCTCTTCTCAGTCTTCTGTGCCGCCTGTGGAGGATGCTCATTCCTGTTCTACTGTTGTCTCTGAACTTTAATACATGAATATGAGATCTTTTATTGTTTGGAAATGTTAAAGAGATGAGGGCACCAGTAGCTTCTCAATAAATATTTGCTCAATGAATTAAATGATAGACTTAAATATTTGTATGAGAACATCCTCCAGCCCCCCCCACCCCCTCTCCCCGCCATAAGCTTCTCAAAGAACTTCTGGAGTAGAACAGATCTACAGCTTGCTAAGGTTTTTAAACTGCCAAGAATTCTTAGAAAAGAGGTCAAAGGAATCCTGCTGAGACTGTTGTCATCCTTTGGGTGAATAGGATAGGAAATTATCGGTTTCCTATTTCCAGCAACTGTGCCACAATGTCCGTGACTCTCTACTAAATTCTGAACGTTGAAGTACAAGAACATTATCAAATATAGCATCAAATATGAGACACCCAGGAAATAATACTGTCTCTGGCAGGAGTGTTAACTATATCTTATTCTAGGCATTTAATTTTAGGAGGAGACAGATTAATTACAAAAATCACAAAATTTGTTGAATGACGATGAGAAACCCAACAAAAAATTAAGGTTGAGTCCTTGTCTGTTGCCTAAGAGTTTAAAACAAGCAAATTTAGCAAAATCCCTCACGTGTGTATGTATGCATGCGTGTGAGTTTGTGTGTCAATGTGTGTACACAAACACAGATACATATTCTGGAAGACACGGCCACCGCATTTGTGCGGTCTCAAAAGATGCCCTCCTTCGGCTTACAAATTAGAAAAAAGCACCCCCTCTAAATGGACAAACTAGAAAAAGTTGTCCCCTTTGAGTATATGAATTAGAAAAGGATCTCTAATAGTCCCTTAGAGTAAATGGTGCATTTCTGTGAAGAAATGGTACCTGGGCCTCTGGGCAGATGCAGTCTGGAGCCAGAGTACGCAACACTGCAATACAGTATGCACACCACACCACCTTAAATGGAAGTCCTCCTGAAGGAAAAGAGCTCCAGCAGAAACACACTGTTCTGAGAAGGATCCGTGCCCCTTGATGTATTTACTAGATTTAACCATAGACCAGAGCTTATTTCGACTGATCCCTGCATCTTTCAGGGCTCTAAAGAGTTGAGTGATTTGTCCAAGCAGAGCCCAACCCACCCGACCTATATTCTTTAAAACTACAGTGACCTCTAGTAAATTCATGTAAAACACTGTGATAGCCTAGGTGAAGTGCCTCGCCTGATACCTGGCATACAGTAAATTTCAACAAGTGGTAGTTTCCCAAACCTTTCCCTTTTTGAAAAGTCCATTTTTTTTGTAAACTGGATCACGATTTTAATTGAATAATCAACTGCTCATGTGAATACATTGTACTTTCAGAATATTTTACCTTGATAATTGATGGACTGAAAATATTTAGTGACTTACAACACTTTAAGTTGGAGTGTCCTTTGCCTGTCAGTTAGTTATTGGATATTTCAAATAAGCAAGTGCTTGGATACACCAGAGCCACACCATGTCCTATTTTGTTTGTAATTCTAACACTTACCCCTTAGTTATCTATTGACAACTCAGATTTTTGAGTATACGGTTTTATATCCTACGACGGTCACTTAAATGATCCTTTTCTACAGCTCCACCTTATTTTCACTTTATTTTAATCATTTTCATCTCCACCTCAGTGCCTACCTTGAGCTCCACTGTGGAGGAAGAAATAAAATATTCTTGAATTATATCGCAAAATATAGAATTTTAGCTTTATCTTCCACGTGTATGTATACAAATATGCATAAATTAAATATTAAAGAGCGTGGATTTGAATATTCTCTACTTTGAAAGGACCGGTTGCTCTTTGTTGAATCCAGTTCTACCAAGATCGCTTTACATTTATTCAGTAGCTAATAGTATCGTCAAGTTCATATAAATGCAATTCCCACCCGTGTTTTTATTTTCTTCCTTTAGGAAATTGAAAGGACAAAGATGGATGCTGAGAATGACAAGGAATGGCTGTTGTACATTCAGAAACTTCTTGAAGGACAGGTATTTCATTTTTCTACTGCATATATTAAAACTTGCAGATAAAAATTCCAAGCCTTACATTTTTCCTAGATGTCTAACTTCTTGTAAACACACCTTATTTATTTCTGTTAGGTAAAGAAGAATTCCAATAGGTAGACAGGAAAGTTAACCCTCTATTTGTTCTTTTGGACTTAACAAATGAAACAAATGCCTTGGGAAGGGGCCAACATGGACCTTAGCAAATGCATTAATTAAATTATTGAGTCAACCTCTATGCTTGCTAGACTGAACAGGATCCATTCTCTCAGCCCTCTTAGGAAAAGAGATTCTTTACTATGTGTCTTTAAAGTTAGTAGTTGATATGGACACCTGAGGAGTTCATGGGTTTCAGTGACCTTTTACTATGGACCTGTTTCCAGTCAATTCATGTTTTCCTCACAGCCAGACAGCTGTTTATTACTGTGTCTTCCCGCATTCTCTACAATATTTTCTACTGAGACCTCGAGCAGCTTGTTAGTGGGAAGTAAATATTGATTTGGCATCCTGTCAATGCAGAAAGAATGAAAAAATTTCCACCAGAGGCCCCTCAAACATTTTCCTATCGACATTTTCTGGGCCGAGTGGAAAGCTGCATAGAGGATGACAAGGCCAAGACAAGTTGAAATCCCTGAGGGGTCTATTGAGACTGCTGCTGTGACCTGTGTGGTACTTTTTCTTCCCTTTCAAGTATTTTTTTAATATACACATAGTCTGCTGGGATGTGCCCCTCTTGTAAGTGATCAAGGGCAGTTTATTGGCAGGTGAGCGCTCTGCTTTTCTAGTCATAGCCAGCTTGTGTTTTGACATCGCTGACAGCATGTAATGTATTCTAAAACTTTTTTATTATAGTTCTTTTTGCTCAACCTAATTGTCTGGTTTTAAAATAAACCTGAATAAAAAGAGCTAAAACATATTTCTCAAAATAGCAAAAAAAAAATTTTTTATTGTCCTGTGATTTTTAGCAAGTCATTGTAAATGCTTCTATGTAAAGATTAAAAGTAAAAGCTGATATTAGAGGCAATTATTTAACAAATAGCAGTATCTGTGCTTTTGGAAAAGTCAAGAATAGGTAAATAACATATAACCTACTTATCTTCTTGTATGCATTTTATGTATCTCTGGAACATTATCCAAATCACTTCTATAGTAATAGAAGGCGATGGGCGATCTCTGGCTCACAGTTGTTTAAGTGTAGACGTGCAGGTGCTGGACGAAGGCTTCTACAGCGACAACTCACTTTTGAGAATAAAGGCTGTTTCTCAGTTGTGTTGTGTGCCCAGCATCAGCCCAGTGCCCGGCACATCAAAGGAGTTCAGCAATGATTGTTATGGGTTACTTTTTTCAGCTTGGAAATGATAAAAATAAACTTTTTAATGAATTTTTTTAGTATTCAACTTGTAAATATGACCCTTTAAGGTGGAAATTATATCACCAATTATGAACATAAAAATAGTAAATCAAAATGTACAAATCTTTATTAAATTTTGCTGAAGCCGTACTGGCACCAGACCTGATTTTTGACTAACACATGTAGACGTACATACACACATTATACATTATCTGGATGTATGCTTATTTTGTCAAGTGAGTGTAAAAGAATCCTGTTGAAAGTGGTGTTAGACCGCTTCATGCTGCAGTTTGACATAGAGCCTTTTTGTGCCACTGAGCCTAGACTCTGGGATATAATTGCCCAGTAGTATTGATTTAATTGCCCGGGTTTATTTGTGGACTCCTAATTATTGACTGGAGGTAAATTTAATGGAGCAGCCTTTGTGAACACGTGGAAACCGCTGCTGTTGCTGTTATACATAATGAACTGCATCCTGTGCCTTTAGATCATTTTTCAAGCTAATTTTATTCCACGGTGACAGTATGATAACATTTAAAAAGTCAAAGACTTTTTATTTTTATTACTGACATAGGTGGTTTTGCTGATGTCTTTGAATTTTGTGGAAAAAAAAATAAGGACTTCATTGGTTGAACTAAATGTCACTTTATAATTGCACCCAAGAGAACAATCTATAAAATAGAAAACATCTTTTTTTTTCTAGTCTACGTTTCTTCTCTCTCAATTCCAGCAATTATATTTCTCCTGAATTTTAGAAAAGGTTTTCTTTGTCCACAAATTTTTTTAGAGTCTAAGTTCTCCTCACAGGATTGTGTGGACAAGAGTGTAAATATGTTCATTCGTACATTTTGTTTAGTTTATGGCCTACAGCTCCATGTGTCTGAGGTTACGTGATCTTCAAGTTGTGGAACAATTGTGTGCATTCCCTAAAAAATGCTAATTAATTCAATATTGATATTTGATTATTAAAATATTTTGAAGATAAAATTATAGGAAAACGTCCCTTTTATGTTCGCCCTCTTTGTTGGGTGCTGTATGTAATGGAATTTTGAGATTATAGGAGTTAATCTGGCCTTCTGGTTTTATCTCTTTTTTAAGGATTAGGCCACAGAATTGTCTTCTGTTACAGAAATTTTTTTGCATTCATTTAATGAAAATTTGTATTGGTAAAATATTTACCACAAAATAAAAAGCTGTTTGACCATGTGGCAATGTGAGACTGCACAATAATATAATACCTACTGTTCCTGTTGCCAGAAGTGCATGAGAACTAAGAGATCTGAAACCTTAACTTATCCATACTTAATACAGAATGCAAATGTGTGTATTTCAAGTAGTCGTGATGAAACTGGTAATTTTATATATTTAATCTTTATCTGCACCTAACCTTTGCCCCCTAGATTTCTAGAAATGAGAATCACACTGAAAAAAATCTACTCCCATTTTTTTATGGCATAGCTGGCTTTTAATTTCTTTAAACATTTTTACTTGTATTAGTTTCTCTTTTTGCATTAATATGTTTTAAAAAACTTAAAATTTATAGCAGAGACAAACAGGCAAATTAATGGTTATAATAGAACGGGAGAACCCCCCAAAATTGGTTTTCTGTAGTTTGAGTGGGAGAAAAAACAGAGCTAGGAAAGGTAGGCTAGGAACAAACTGTAAAAGCTTTTGAGAAGGAAAGGGATATAATCAGAGTTGTGCCGATACCTGAGATCAGTATACAGGATGGTTTGAAGGGAGAAGAGACTGGGAGCCAGAAGGTAGTCTAGGCAAAGGGCAGTGAGGGCCTGGATGTGCCCTAGCCATGGAAATAGAAAGGATGAGATAGATGTGATTGACGTTAGAGTGACTGAATTGATGACAGTAATGAAATTAGATGAAGGGGTCAGAAAGCAGAAACCAAAGATGGGTGAGTTTAATAACTTACATGATGAGAAAGAATTTTAGGGATCAAAAGAGATAGATCATATTTGGTAGGAGGGAGATGTCAACAATGAAGACAGAAAATTTAGTAGGTATGTTTTATTAGCAATATTCAGGGATTCACAATTTGTCATTAATTCAACCCAGCCTTCTGTTTGGCTTTTCTCAGTGAAATTTAACCATTTAAGAACACATTTCAAACTCTTACAACTCAACAACAAAAAGAAAATAAACTGATTTGAATGGACATTTCTACAACAAGATATACAAATAGCCAGTAAGCACATGAAAGGATGCTCATCACTAGTCACTAGGGAAATGCAAACAAAAGCCAAAATGAGATATGTACTTCACACCCAGTAGGATGGGCTATAATTAAAAAGACAGACAATAACAAATGTTGGTGAGGACGTGGAGAAATTGGAACCCTCATATATCACTAGTGGGAATGTAAAATGGTGCCGCTGTGTGGAAAATAGTATGGCAGTTCCTCAAAAAGTTAAAGATAGAGATTATATGATCCAGCAGTTCCACCCCCTGTATATACCCAAGAGAAATGAAAACCTATGTCCCTATAAAAACTTCCACGTGAATGTTCATAGCAGCATTATTCGTAATAACTCAAAAGTGGAAGCAACCCAAATGTCCATCAGCTGATGAATGGATGAACAAAATGTGGTATATGGATACATAGGAATATTATTCGACTATAAAAAAGGAATGAAGTCCTGATATGTCCTACAACATGGAAGAACTTGTAAACCTTATGCTAAGTGAAAGAAGTTATACACAAAAGGCTACATATAGTATGAGTGCATTCATATGAAATATGCAGAATAGGCAGATCTATCAAGACAGAAAATAAATCAGTAGTTGCTAGAGGATGGAGGGAGATAGGGAGTGGCTGCTAATGGGTAAAGGGTTCTTTTTAGGTAATAAAAACCTTCTGGAATTATAGAGTGGTGATGGCTGCACAACCTTGTGAATATAATAAAAACCAATGACATATACTTTAAAATGGTGAATTTTATGTTATGTAACTTAGATCTCCATTTAAAAAATGAATTCCTTAATATGAGACATACTGAAAGAGAAAAAAAGAATACATTTAAAACTAAATTCAATAAAGTTCTCCTATCACATATGCTGTGTCCTCCATCATTAGCACAAATTGCCTTAAATGTGTTTGAATTTTAATTTCTGTCTACGGACCATAAATATGAATAAATGCGGCAAATTATTTTGTTTTATACTTAATCTTTTTGCTTTCAGTTGGCACATAGATGTCCCTCTATTATACTCTAATTGATATTACCTCCTCACATATCCAAACAAGGAGTCAGCGACTTACACTCTGCTCTCTAAGAGAGAGTTTATTTGTTCTGCCCATTCTAATCCTCAAAATTAAAATTATAAGAAAGGTCATTTAGTTTTGTTTTCAGGCCTTAATAATACCAGAAACAGTCCTTTGTACTTGGGACTTTATAAAGGCAATGGAAAGAATTAGTGGAGATAAAACTGAACCTGTGCTTTGGAATCCATTCGAAAAACATGTATTGGGTGCCTACAGGGTGCCAGGGATTGTTTCCAGTTTGGGGGCACAGAGTGAACAGAAGACACAAAAATCTCTGCCATCATGGAGCTTACATTTCTGGGGATGGAGGACAATGAACAAATAGTTAAATTATATAAACTGTGAAATTTATTG